CCCAAAAAAAAAAAAAAAAAAGATTCTTTTTGCCATTTCTTTCCATCTGTAAGTTAAGTACCATTCCTTGCTTTTCCCATCTTAAAGAGGGTGTCAAGACTTCACAGTGCTGTTCTATGCCTTCCCTAACTAGAAAAGACTGGAAAATCTGTTCTGATTATAGGAGGAAGAGCCATAGGCAAAAGATCTATATTTTACTTCATGTCTCCTGTAGGTCTCCCACTGGCTCCCTCCCTCTCGTCATGCATCTTGCTAATGGACAGACCATGCCTATGCTGCCAGGGCCTCCGGTACAGATGCCTTCTGTTATATCGGTGAGCTCTGTAGTTGGGGCAGCCAATCCTACCAACACACTAATCCCTCCTTTCCACCTGAATGGTCATAATCACAGAGGGGCCCCAGGGAAATATGGGCTCTGGTCTATATTAGTTGAGTATGGCAGCCTGCCCAAACTCTTCACTAATCTCTGCCAATCCAGCACTGCAGAACACTAGACAAAGACTCATCTGGACAATTGGCTCCTGGCCTAGGAATTGATCTTGCCAGCCTGGTGATTGGTTGATTTCACTTGGCAGATAGCATCCTCAAATTGCCACCACTTTTCTCAAGATATAAGTATATCCTTTTGCTGAGCAATTTTGCCAGCACTGAAGGATTAGATTCCCTATCCTGTGGTGCTGTATGGGGAAAGTATTTCCCAAGCTGGTCCCTGCAGCCCTTTGGGACGGTTGTGCAGAATAGGCCTAACATGCCAGTGCTTCTGAGACAACAGTATTTTATCTCCTGGGTTTCTGTCTTCCTCTTAATCCAGCTGGCCAGACCTGTGTCCATGGTACCCAACATTCCTGGTATCCCTGGCCCACCAATTAACAGCGGTGGTTCAATTTCTCCCTCTGGCCATCCCATGCCATCAGAAGCCAAGATGGTAAGTATATCTCAGTGTGGGGTAATGTTGGGCCTTCTGAAAGAAATGATATCAGCCTAGATTTTTCAAGTGATCTAAGCAAAGGAACCAACCTTCTTGGGGCTTGCAAAACTAAGGACACCCTGTTGTGGGATCTCGGGAGGCAGGGGGAGATCCTGATTCATGACTCTCATCTCCTTTCCCCACCTTAAGAGCCTGGTACATAGACCATGGCAGTGAAAAGAGGCAGCACAGATTGTGTGCAATGGAATACTTGCCATTTTCATTCCAGGGTGACAGATGGAAGGTGGGTGAGTGGGCAGGGGAGCTGGCCAAGAGGTGAATAGCTGCATAACCAGCATCTGGCCAGGCTCCAGGAGAGAGCTTTCATCTGGTCTCTTTTGCTTCAACAACCCCCAGCCACCAACTGTGCCCAGGATGATAGCCAGGGAACAGAGTAGGCATTTTAGGGAGCCAGGTGCATCTCACTGTTATTTTCTCTGCTAAGGGAAAAATTGGAATGGAAATTTTAACATTTTGTAAGGTCAATAATAGAATATAAACCCATCCCTCTCATCCTTGATAGAATGTGACCTTTGACAAGATATTTTTTCTTATCTTTCCCTACAGAGACTGAAAGCTTCCCTTACCCACCAAATCTCCTCCATCAATGGTGGCTGTGGAATGGTGGTGGGCACTGCCAGCACTATGGTGACAGCCCGTCCAGAGCAAAGCCAGATCCTCATCCAACACCCTGATACCCCATCCCCTGCCCAGCCACAGGTGAGTATGGCCCTTGGATGGGAGTAACCAGCTGTGATACTATTACCCTTTATATACTATCTCTTTTACTGGGAGCACAAAATTAGAGAAGAATGGAGAACTAGGGATTTGGTTCAGTGGTTCTGCGGCCTGCCTCAAAAGTGCAAGAACCCAAGTTCAATCCCCGGTACCAAAAAAAAAAAGAGAAGAATGGATTTCAGCTTTCTGGGTATTTTCCTGCTACTTTGGTTCTTGTGTTTGACTACAGCAAAACACATCGTTCTTCACCCATTTGTTAGATGTGCATGCACATAGACTGAATAACACAGAGCTGCTACAGAGGATACCTCTAATTTTGTTTTTGGGTTTTTTCAATGTATGAATACTAATATATTTACATTTCAGAATCCTCTGAAATATAACAGGAGGTCACATCAAGCCACACTGCGGATTAAACGAAGAAGTTCCCTTAGCCCCATCTATTAAGTCTTAGGAAAAAAAATAATGATTTACCTGATTATTTTATTTTAAAAAAATAAACAAAGAGGGTGAAGGGAGAGCAGAGGGATGGGGAAAAAATAAGAACCAAGATATATCTTGTAAAGGTACAAGATCCTAATGATGAATTTAACTATATTGTTTACCTTAAATGTACCAATAAACTTAATGGAAAAAAAACCCACAATAACAGTATACTAATAAAATGTGATGTTACATTATTAATATGGCTCAGTAAGCCAATGGGGCGGTACATGCCTGTATTCCCAGCACTCTGGGAGCTGGGGCAAGAGGATCACAAGTTTAAGCCCTGTCTCCAAAAAAAAAAGCGGGGAATACAGCTCAGTGCAAAGGCCCTGAGTCCAATCTTCAGTAACACCAGCCCCCACAAAAAAAGGTGTAAGAAAACAGAAAGTCTTCTCATTATCCAGTAAGTCTTTTTATCACAGAGAAATAAAAACCCATTCTTAAGAAGATCTGAGTTTTAATAAGATTCTTTGGAAACTGAGTAGTCATCAGTTTTTATAATAGTCTGCACTGGACAGGTGACAATGACCTCAGATTGGTTTCTAGAGTTACATTCTTTGCCCAGTCTCTCTTTTCCCCATGTCACCACCTGCTTCATCAGTTACTACCACATGTCCAGACATTTCATGGCCATATGCTGCCTTAAAGCTTGGCCAACAATACAAGCTTTCATTTGAGTTTCCTTTTGTATTTCCCACCCCAAAGCCAGCCAGTCCAGGAGATGCTAAAGCAGTAACCTCCTGCCTGAACTACACCACTTTTCCAGGGCAAAGATATGTCTTCCCTTTTTTCTTTCTTTTTTTAATGAAAACTCTTTATTGTAAAGATTCCCATCCTTACTAATGATGACATACCCTCCCCTTGAGCTGGGTAGGGTGGTCCATGCCTGGGATCCTAGTAGCTACTTAGGAGGCTAAACAGGAGGATCACAAGTTTGAGACCAACCTAGGCAACTTAGTGAGACTTGTTTCAAAATAAAAAAGGGCTGGAGACATAGCTCAGTGCAAAAGCTGTGTATTCCTTTTCTAGTTAAAAAAAAAAATGAACAAAAATGGGCCAGGGATTTAGCTCAGTGGTTCCACTGCCAGACTTTCAAGCAGAAGGACCCAAGTTCGATCCCCGGTACCAAAAACAAACAAACAACAACAAAAAATAAAACAAACAAACCTCCTATAGAAACTACAATAGTTCTCATTAAATTTTTTTTAAATATATGCTTTACAGGGCAGGGATTTAGCTCAGTGGCGCTGTGCCTGCCTTACAAATGCAAAGTCCTGAGTTCTATCTCCAGTTTTAAAAAAATGCACTGTAATAGTATCTAGGTAATAACATTCCCTTCTCTCTCTGCATCCCCAGATGAGCTGTTGGCTGGCCACCCTTGTGGGTAGAGATGTGATGTTTTATTTGTTGATTTTTTGGATTGTGTTGATGGGGAGAAAACACATTGTGTTATATTCTCTAATAATTCTTTCAAAGAGGGTATGAGAAAAATAAACTTTCTGAATTCATCAGTACAAAAAATGTCTTTGTTTTTCCCTCAAAATCAAATGTCAGTTTGGCTGGATACTGGATTTGAAGCTAGAAGCCCTTTACCCTGCAGGGCTCTTATTCTATTGCCCCACTGACTTTCAGTATCCTTTGTGCTCTGAGAGAAGTCTGCCATCAGCCAGGTTCTTATTCTTCTATAGGTGATTTCTTTTTCTTGAGAAGCCTTCAGGATTTTCTCTTTCTCACTGGGACTCCAGAATGTCACCAAGATATGTCTGTGAGTAAGTCTTCTCTCATCAACCTTGCTGAGCCTTCAACAAGCTCCGACACCCTTTCTTAGCTCTGAAAAGTTTTCTTCAGTTATTTCGAGACAGACAGCAGAACCAATGAGCTAAATCCACGGCTAGTTATTTCTTTAATTATAATGGATGGTGGAGCTTCTGCCATCTAACCTCTCTAACTTGTAGTTTTTCTGTATTCATTAGCTGCTTGGACATTTGCATTATTTCCTTAGATACTTCTTCCATTTGGCTGTCTAGATTTCTCATTCTTTCCTTGTATATACCTAGCCCACTATGTAGATCATCTACTGAAGGTTTAATCTCCAAAACTTCTGGATGGTATTTCCTTTCAGTCTCCTCTTGTATCTCTCTGAAAATGCTGATCACTCTTCTGAAGTTTTCTTGTGTTTCTTGGATTAACTCTATTTCTTTGGACATCAGCTCTTCTATTTGCAGGGTCTTGTGTCTCTCTGTTTTTCCTAAAAACTTAGTGACTCCTGATGGAGCACTCAGATTTGCACATGAATGCTTTTCATGCTCATCAGAGCTTCTCTGTTGATTTTGGGAGAAAGGACAAATGCAAGGTTGACAGGGTATCTCAATTCCTTGACTTCTGGAACCAGCTGTTTCCTCTTCATCCTCAGTGTTGTGTATTTCCTGGGGCTTCACTAACTTTTCCTTCTTCCTAACTGAAGAACTACAGGCAGTTTCCTCACAAAATACTGAGGCCTCTTCTCCCACTGTGCTTGGATGTCCTTCTCCTTCCTGCTACTGCTGCTTCTCTTCCATTTCTGAGTTCCTCTATCCCTGAGCTTTCTTTTCCCTTTTCCTCTGTCCCTTCCTCCTCCCTTCCTAGGTTTTCTTCTTTCTCGTCCTCCTCTTCATCCTCCTCATCTCTTCAGGTTTCTTCTTCCTCCTGCTCCTCCTCAATCCTAGTTTTCTTCTTCATCCACCAGCCGTAAGACTTTCTACTCCTCCACCTTGGAGCTTTCTTTTCCTGTCCACTCTGAAGAGACTGAGCTCCTCCCCTTAGATTTAGCAACCTTTACCTCTGTAATGAACAGGAAGTTCAAGACATCACTTTCTGGGCCTCTAACTTCACACTTTAAAGGCTTTTAGAGGTTTATCCCCTTTTGTAACCTATATTCTCTTCCTCCTTGATGGAAGTTTTCATTCTGTAGGAGAAGAGCATCTTTCAACAAATATTTCATAAAAGCCTTTCGGCTGGTAGATTCTCAAGGCTCTGCAGGTCTGAAAATGTCTTTATTTCATCATCACATTTAAATGTTAATTCAACCTTACATAGAAATTTAGGGTCAAGCCAAGCATGGTGGCGTACCCCTATAATCCCAGCACTTGGGAGGCTGAGGCAGGAGGATCACTGCAAGTTTGAGGCCAGCCTGGGCTCCACAGTGAGTTTGAGGCCAGCCTGAGCTAATGTAACAAGACCCTATCTCAAAAGTAGAAAAAAAAAAAAAAAAAGAAAAGAAATTTAAGGTTAAAACCATTTTTCCTCAAAATGCTAAAGATGTGATCCCATTGCTTGCTGACTTCTAGTGTTGTTAAGTCTGCAGCCAGGGTCAGGAATGCCCTTGAGTCTGTCAGTGGTTTTTCTTCTTTATTTTTCCAATCTCAAGGCTTTTTCTCTCCCCCATCTCTTTCACTGGCTCATGCTCTCCAATTTTCTCTTTCTGGAACCTCTACCTGGACATGGCGATTTCTCTCTCACCATTACTGCACAAGGCTCCTCCCATGTTATTTTTTTACTTTGCAATTTTGAGGTAATTTCTTACCCCAGGCTCCATTGTGATTTTTAGCTTTGTCTGCTTTGCTACTCAGCTCATCTAGTTTTCTTTTAAAGGTCAGTCTTTCAATATCCTCATGTATTTTGAGTCTTCTGTTTTCTCCACGAACTGTTTTTGGTAAAGCTAAATCTTTTATTTCCTGCCACTCCTTCCTACTAAATTTTTCACTTCAGGTATTGTGATTTTTGCTTCTAAAATTTCCCTTATATTATTTGTAAGGATCTTCATTATCTTCAAACACGAGATCCTGTTTTTCCTTCAAGAACTCAAACTTACAGTGAGGCCCTGTCTCAAAACACTAAAAATTAAAAAATAACAATTTAATTTTAAGCCAAGGTATCACTAAGTTATTATATTGCCCAGCTGGGCTTGAACTTCTGATCCTCTTGCCTCAGCCACAAAGAGGACCAGGGAAAGAGGCCTGCACCACCATGCCCAGCTATATTATATTTTCTGGTTGGTTATTGATGATGTAAAGGCTTAGTTTTTGTAGGACGACTCTGTATACAGAAAACCTGCTGAGCTTTCTTAACGATTCTAATTGTCTTTAAATATAGGTGAAAATTTCCTTTGCAAGTAATGATAATATGATCTGTCACTTTCAGTACAACTTATTTTTTGTCCTTACTTGATATAAAGCAGAAGAAATATAAAACTGTAAAGAAATGGGGACATTATAGATTTTTCTTGTGCAATATGTTACGTACCCTCTCTACTATGACCTGGAAGAATCCAGGATTCCAGCACACAGGAGGCCAAGGCAGAAGGATCACCATGAGTTTAAGGGTAGCCTGGGCTACATAGTAAGTTCAAGGCCATCTTGAACTGCATAGTGAGATCCTGTCTCCAAAAAAAAAAGAAAGAAAAGAAAAAGAAAGAATCCAAGAGATATTTCTTTGACTATAGCATGGAGAAACAGCTTTATGAAATGAGTACCAACCTTTTTTACTGGTACATTTTAGATGTACATATGTCATTATAGGAAATCTGTACCTGTGTATGATATATCTTTTCTGCTTTTCTTCCCATTCACCTCCCCTCCCTTCTACCAGTTTTTAAAAGTAGAGCTACTGTTACTGTTCTTAATCAGTAAAAAGCTTCTGTGGGTACTCTAAGGTAAAATATAAATAAAAACTCAAACTTGTTCCTGTCACCTGCTGATGAGTCGTCGTACTCTGAATCTGGGGCCACTGCCACCTCAGTATCCATGGACACTTTTCTTTTCCTCCAGGAGATTTTTCCTGTTCCTTTGCCCATCTCACCAGCTTGGGTTGGACCCTGGACATTGTAGCTGTGTTGTCAAAACTGGTTTTCTCTTCTTGAAGAGTAAATTTGTTCTTGCACGCTGGGTAGACTTGAGAAATTCAAAATTTTAAAAATCACCCACTATCCTTCAGCCTGGGTTAGCCACCCTTAGTGGCAGGACACATCTACCCTGCAGCTGGCCCAGGGCCAGGACTGTTCCGCACAAGGCCCTCAGGTTAAATGAAGGAACGAGGAGCCAGTGGGCTTCTAGTCATCACCAACTCCTTTTCTTCCACTCTATCCTTCTTTCTCTTAGCTTGTTCTCTCATCTCCTTCTCCTGTATGAGTTCCTGAGGTGGCTATGAGACAACAGGAATTTATCATTCCCTTTCCTTCATTTTCCTTTTACAAGTGCTCCAGTGAGCTCAAGACAAATAAAAAGTTAAAATTCTCTGGTGAATTTTTGTAAGTTTCTTTTTATTTTTTCCAGTTTTTGTTGTTGTTGTTGTTGTTGTTCTTGGATTTATTTTTTTGAGACAGGGTCTCACTACCAGTATGTATTCTAGGCTGGTCTTGGATTCACTTTGTAGCCCAAGCTGGCCTCAAACTCACAGCCATCCTCCTGCCTCCACTTCCTGAGTGCTAGGATTACAGGCGTGCACCACCATATCTGTCATGAATGTTTGTATATTTCTTAGAGAGGGTCTTCCCTCAGTACAGTGTTTCCAGGTCCCTAGTTCATTAAAGGAGTTTAAAATTTCCTCTCCATGTTTTTCTTTCAAGAGAAGTAATGTTAGCCTAAATAAATAAAATTATCTCTATTAATAGAGAATATAATTCAGTGGAGCCTGGAGTAGAGTTCAAAAATCTAGTTTTTAAAAGCTCAGGCTCATTGATAAGAGCTCTGGCATTAAACACAAAACACAAAAACAAAAGGGGACCGGGGATTTAGTTCAGTGGTTCCACTGCCTGCCTTGCAAGCACAGGTCTGGAGTTCGATCCCCAGTACAAAAAAAAAAGAGAGACAAATATCAGCTTGTGGAAAAGTAAACAGTAAATTTTTCTCTATTTACAAATAAAGGGGGGGGCTTGCCAAGGATAATTAATTGCTAATAAAAATAATATACTAATCCCTATCTCTCCATAGTATCCCATATCTCTGTAAAAAGAACAGAAATAGATTTTTGTTCTTTTCTAAAACCAGTTAGAACACGCAATGTTTGTACTTACCACTTGTCCAAATCAATGGTCCTCGGACCTTTTTGTGTCTACCTAAACGTTCCTCTGACATTCTCTCCTACTTTGATTTTGCTGCCTGCGATATTCCCTGCTGTTAAACATTAAAGTGACCCTACTTTCATTTTCTGTCTGCTTCAGAAGTAATCAGGTTCCAACTGAACTATGGTTTTTAGGAATTGAACTGCGAAGACTAGAGAAATGGGCAGCAGAATGAGGAACTACTTAGTACCAAAAAGAACCTAAGGGACAGTGATGAGATTTGTGTGGCTACCATCCAGCTAATGTCACTTTCGATTTGGAACGCATTGAGTTCCTACCAAATAACTCCTCTTCCTTTCTGGGCCACAGGTCTCTCCAGCCCAGCCCACCCCCAGTACCGGGGGACGCCGGCGGCGCACAGTGGATGAAGATCCAGATGAACGCCGGCAGCGCTTTCTGGAGCGCAACCGCGCTGCAGCCTCTCGGTGCCGCCAAAAGCGGAAGTTGTGGGTGTCTTCGCTAGAGAAGAAGGCAGAGGAACTCACCTCCCAGAATATCCAGCTTAGTGTGAGTGGGGTCCTGGAGGATAATGGGGATTGTCGAATCCGGAAAGTGGGATTGATTCAGAAAAAAATGGGACAGTGTAATTGAAGATAATTGTGTAGGACACATTGAGAAGTTGTGCCAGGAACAATGCTGAATCTCTTAACAGAGTTAAGATCACTTCCCTAGTAAGTGGCAGATACCATCTACTATGAAATCTATTAGGCCCAGTTGGGTGAAGGGAATCAGAAAAGCACCCCTGGGTGCTTAAATCACCTGTAGAAACCAAGTGTGGTGACAGACCTGTGGTCTCAGCACTCAGAAGACTGAGACAAGAGGACTGCTGCAAGATCAAGGCCTGCCTGAATTACTTAGTGTGACCCTGTGCCAAAAATTTAAAAAATTTCTGCTGGAGTCTTAGCCGTGGTCATGGAAGATCTACCTCATTTTTTAACAGCCATATATTAATCCATTCTATAGTGTGGGTTATCTTGTAGGGTATAACATTGATATTGTTGTAATCTTTTTCTAGAACAATAATGCTGCAGTGAACATTGCATACACTCAAGTAAATAGTTCTGCTAAACAGATGCCTGAACCAGGCATGATGGCACACACCTGTAATCCCAGCACTCAGGACACAGAGGCAGGAAGATTGAAAGTTCAAGGTCAGCCTGAGATATGTAGTGAGTTCAAGGCTAGCCTGGACTGCGTACCCAGTTAGAACACAAACAAACACTCACAAACAAAACACATTAGACTCCTAGATGTAATGTAGGCTTATAAATCACATTTGCCTAAGTAAGAGTGATTTTACTATTACACAACCGTACTTTTTCCAGTAGGCAGTTCCTGTCATTGAATTAATGACTGTATTGGCCCCGGGCTGTCTGAGTTTTGGCTAGATCTGAAGTTTTCCAGCTTGAGAAAGGGAATTTCTCATTCCAACTTGAGGAGGAAAATCTAAACTGTGCTCTGTCCTCACTCTGGTCTGTATCACTCTTCAGAGTCCAAGAGTAGAAGCTAAATTTTCTCCATACTTTTTCTTCCCTCCCCCCTCAGAATGAAGTGACATTACTACGCAATGAGGTGGCCCAGTTGAAACAGCTACTCTTAGCTCATAAAGACTGCCCAGTCACTGCACTACAAAAAAAGACTCAAGGCTATTTAGGTGAGTGGCACTACCTGTGCAAAATCAGTGGGTAAATTGCATCTTCTGGGTCTCAACTGTTTATAACTCTATACTGAATATGCTGAGAATGCTCAGACTGATGAGTGAGGAGCCCTTGTGGAGCAACCAGTCCTACCCCTGAAAAAAAGTTTTGACAATATAGTTATCCTAATTATATGCATTAGTTGGGGAATGATGGTTAGTAATACTTATTGGGTGCCTATTTGGTTTAGGGAGTCTACATCTTCCCAGTTATCTCATGAAATAGATATCACCTCCATTTATGTGTGAGAAAACTGTACTCATATCACTTACTAGAAATTACAGAGCTACTAAAGTGGTAGAGTCAAGATTTACCAGGCCATTTCTTTTTGTTTTGTTTTTTTGTGTTACTGGGGATCAAACTTGGGTCCTTGTGCTTGCAAGGCAGGCAGCAGAACCATTGAGCTAAATCCCTGGCCCTTACCAGGCATTTCTTATTCCAAAGACATTCCTTTGGCTGGAGAAGAGATACACAGCAGATGATACATTGGGATTGAAGAACTGGGAATTTAGGGTATATTTTCTTTTTTTAATGACAGGTCAATATTGGTTTCTGTTTGTAATCTATGAGCAAACACACAATAGTGCTAAAAAGGGCCAGGGATGTAGCTCAGTGGCACTGCTCCTGCCTGGCAAGTACAAAGTCCTAAGTTTAATTCCCAGTGCAAGAAAAAAAAAGTGCTAGGGCCAGAAAGTTAGCTCAGAGGCATCGTGCGTGCCTCATAAATGCAAGGTCCTGAGTTCAATCCCCAGCACAAAATAGAAAACGTGCTAAAGAGATGGCCACAGACTCTACTCCACATAAGCACAGTTCTGAGGTTAATGCTGTGAGTAAGCTAGGCCTTGTGGTGCCTTCTGTGCCAACATTCTGGGAGGCTGAGGCAAGAGGATTGAAAGTTTGACCATAGCTTGGGCTGCCTAGTGGGACCTTATCTCAAAATAAAATATAAAAAGAACTAGAGATACAACTCAGTGCAAAGACCATGGGTTCAATCTCAAGTACTGCCCAAAAAAAAAAACCTACAACGAATAATTTGCTTATGGGTAGTAAATGTTAATAAATGCCAGTTTTCCTTTACAGATTAATGTCAGAAATGTTGGCTATCAGATTTTCTTACATTGAATTATTTTGCCACTAACCATCTTTATCATTTCAGAGATGTGTTCCCATAGAAAAAGAATAACCACATCACCAATCTTTTAAAGTCTCTATTTAAATTTTAATATGTACTTCAGGGTATATTCATTCATTAAGCAGATATTGATTGAGTGCCTCTTCTGAGTCAGCCACTATTTTACATGCTGGGGATATCATAAGAAACCAAATAGATTAGATTAAAACCTTGCCTTTCAGAAGCTTATATTTAGTAGTTGAGAAAGACAATAAATAAGATAATATATGGTATGTTAGATAATACTAAATGCTAGAAGAAGAAAAAAAAACAGGGAAGGGGTAATATGAAGTGTTGCCCACAGGATTGAAATTTTAGATGAGCTGGCTTTTGAATTAAGACCTGAAGGGACTGGGGATTTAGCTCAGTGGTTCTGGCACCTGCCTCACAAGCACAAAGACCTGAGTTGGATTCCCGGCACCAAAAAAAATGGGGAGGTCCTGGGGATGTAGCTCAGTGCACAGGCCCTGGGTTCAAGTTCCAGTATCACAAACAAAAGATCTGAAGGAAGTTAGAGAGCTATCCATGTATTTGTGTGGAATAAAAGTGCTTCAGGCCCATGGAGGAGGTAGCCTGCCTAGGACCTTCTAGGAACAGCAGGAAGGCTGGACTAAGAGCAGCTGGAAATGAGACATTTCAGATTGGGTCTTGCCAGTAACCATCTTGGCTTTTACTCTACACTGGTTACCATTAGTTTTCAGCAGAGGAACAATGTGACTGACAAAAGGATCACTTTGTTAGAGACAGTCTGGGTAGAAGCGGGTCTGCGAGGCCACTGCAGTATATACAGAAAATGATGGAGTCTTTATCAGGATGGTGGTAGTAATGTGAACAGAAGGGGTTGAATTCAGGATATATTTGCAGTGTGAGTGGCAAGATTTGATAACAGCCCAGGTAGTGGTTTATATGGAAAAAAAATTGCACCCAAGTTTCTGGCCTGAGCAACTGCAAGAATGGAGTTGTCATTAATCTTGACACAGCAAAGTCTACAAGGAAATGGTCTGGGAGGTCTATCAGGAGCTCAGTTTTGAACAAGTGAGGTTAAGAAACATGTTAAGACCTGCAGAGGGAGATGTTAGGCAGTCAGTTATGTTGGTCTGCAGTCGGAGGAGAGGCTAAAGGTGACAGAGAGTCGGTAGCATTTAGTCAGTTTTGAAAGCCATGAAACTCAATATATAAAGAGGAGGACTGGGGCCGGGGATTTAAATGCTCAGTGATTCCACCACCTGCCTCGCAAGCACAAGAACCCAAGTTTGATCCCCAGTACCAAAAAAAAAAAAAAAAAAAAAGAGGAGGAATGGACCCTAGTATACTTTAGTATTCAGAGGTCAAAGAGATGAGAAGGAACCCACAAGAAATTGAGAAAAAAGAAATTGAGAAGGTATAGCCAGAAAGGCAGAAAACCAGCTGAGTAGCTGAATATGGTTGATAGTCTGTAAATCAAGATAAGAAGGCACTGTATAAAGTTTAGTGATCATCTATTTCAAATCTTGTTGATGAGCTAAGGGAGACAAGGATTGAGTATTTTTCAGGAGTCAGTATGCAGCAAGTTTTTAACTCAGTCTCTGCAAGAAGTCTGACAGTCAATTCATTAAACTACTTCTTTGTTACAACAAAGATGTGTGTAGTTCCTGCTGTGAGGTATCAACATTATGGTAGCTACTTGACACAAAACAAATAGGACACTGTCCCTGCCTGTGAGAGACTCATGGAGTCATTGTAAACTGAGGTGAGGACAAATACTCAGGTCAGAGCCACTGACTGGGAGGTTTCTTAAGACAGCGTCCCACTTTATTCTCTATACCCCAGTACCCTGACACATGGATGGTGGTCCGTAACTATTCTATGAATAAATGAATGTATCCTCTGAATGCACAAAAGGTGAAGCCATCCATTTCCTTGAAGGTAACAAAGATGGCTCATGGAGAAAGCAATATTTAATCTTAGAAGATGACTCAGGCATCAAGAGGTCAAAAGTAATCCAGGTGTAGTGGCATGTACCTGTAATCTTAGCATTTGGGAGGCTGAGGTAGGAGAATCATGAATTCCTCCCTGAATTGAAGGCCAACCTGGAATACATCCATTCTGTCTCAAAGAAAAGGAAAAAAAAAGTGTTTAAATATAAAGAAAAATTAAGCCAAGCACAGTGGCATACACTGGTAATCATAGCACTTAGGAAGGCTGAGGCAAGAGGATCCCAATTTGAATGCTGCCTAGGCAACTTAAGCAAGACCCTGTCCCAAAATAAAACTATAGCCAGGTTTGATGGCATATGCCTGTATTCTCAGCACTCTGAGAGACTAAAGCAGAAGGATCACAAGTTCAAGCCCAGTCTGAGCAACTTAACAAGACCTTCTCTCAAAAAAAACCAAAAATATGTTTTTAATGGCAAAGCATATTGCTCAGTGCAAAGACTCTGGGTGAAACCTCAAGTACTGCAAAAATAAATAATTAATATAAAGGACTAGGAGTGTAGCACATGGTACAGTACCCTGAGTTTGATCTCGTTACAGCAAAAATAAATAAAATTAAAAAGTGGTCAAAAATACAACCACCTGTTTCCCGAATTCCACACATCTCTGCTAAGCAGTCAGAGTGGCTGGCTGATGCTTGATAAAACTTCTTGACCTGTGAACATCATGGAGTTTGTGTTTAGTAGTAAAATGTTACCTCTACATGCATGCCCCTGCTAAATCTTGGGAGCAGCCTATACATCCATGAACAGATGAATGGATAAAGAAAATGTGATGTGTACATACACACAATGGAGTACTGCTTAGCCATAAATGAGGATAAATTTCAGTCATTTACTGAGTGTGGTGACACATACCCATAGTCCCAGCACTCATGTGGCTGAGGCAGGAGGATCACCTCTAGTTCAAGGACAGCCTGAACTAATAGACCCTGTCTCAAAAAAAAAATTTTTCAGTCATTTGTAGGAAAATGGATGCACCTTGAGCCCTTAATGTTTAGTAAAGTAAATCAGATATAGAAGCTTAACTATCACATGGTTTCTCTTATATGAGAAACCCAAAATTTAAAAGTCAAACAAGGAGATAGACCTTTTGCAAATGGGAAGGGGATCTAGAGATGGATGGAGGGGAGAAGAGGGGAAGGAAAAGGATTAAGATGTGATGTGTGTGTGTGTCTGTACCAACACACCAAGATAAATGTATTCTTTATGTATCACAAACATACACTAATAAAAAAAAACTTTCTCTTGGTGGGCATAGTGGTACACGCCTGTAATCCTAGCACTGTGGAGGCTGAGGCAGGAGGCTGTGCATTTGAGGTCAGCCTGGGCTACATAGTGAGTTCAAGGCCAGCCTGAAATACAGTGAAACCTTGTCTCAAAAAACACCAAATAAATAAATAAAGATAGGAGTAAGAGGAAGAGTGTTCAAAACAGAGTAATGAATTATGGAGAGACCTAGAAGCCAGATAATATAATTATCATACTGGAGATTAATAGATTAATTTTTGCCTGGTTGTTTCCCTTCTTGCAACTTCCCATTCTGAATCCATTCATGACTTAGAAGCCACAGCTCAGGCGAGTTTTTCCCCAAAAGAGATGTTTCATTTTCCTTTAGAGTCCTTGAACTATTGAAAAAGTTAGTCCTAGCTATTTTCCTATTGTTTTTTGTTTGTTTGTTTTGGGGGGTTTTTTATTTGGTTGGTTTTTGGTTTTGGTTTTTTGAGATAGGGTCTCACTATGTAGTTGAGACTGACCTGGAACTCACTATGTAGCCCAGGCTGGTCTCAAACTCACAGCGATCCTCCTGCCTTAGCCTCCCGAGTGCTGGGATTACAGGAGTGCGCCACCATGCCCGGCTCTTACTCTGTTTTCTAACCACATGTTTTCTGCTCTTTGCCCCTCTTCATGGCAGAGAGCCCCAAGGAAAGCTCAGAGCCAACGGGTTCTCCAGCTCCCGTGATTCAGCACAGCTCAGCAACAGCCCCTAGCAATGGCCTCAGTGTCCGATCTGCAGCTGAAGCTGTGGCCACCTCAGTCCTCACTCAGATGGCCAGCCAAAGGACAGAACTGAGCATGCCCATGCAGCCGCATGTGATCATGACCCCACAGTCCCAGTCTGCGGGCAGATGATGCCTCCCCTGGTGGAGAGCTCCCAGCCAGAGCTCGCCCGCCCAAGAGCCGAGAGATGTCATCCTGTCCCCTTCCATCTGCCTTGGACATAGCAACACGGGGGGCAAAATTGTGTGTCGTGAGTATGGACAGACATGGGGCTTTTCTCTTAGCCACACAGTCGTGTATGTTTGGTATGTGCACTGGGGGGGGTCTCCCAGCTCCAGAGCCACATAGATCATCCCCCAAGGGTAGGGTTTCTGATGTACTTACAGCCAAAGGCCTACCCAGATTGTCCGAGCAGTCACCCATGCCCCATGCACGTGTATCTGTCTGTCTCTTTTAACACTAACCCTTGCACTTCTAGGTTTGGGGTTTCTCAGTTTCTTCTCACTAAGCTGTGGCTGTTACCTTCCTGTTCCTTACCAGCATGTCACTTCCTGCTAGACAGAGGAAGGCTCCATTTGATGGCAGATCACCCACTCTCCCATCCCTACCTCCCCGCTTGGACTCAGGACTTTGTCTCCCAGTTGCTATTAATTTATCCCCTTTCCCCCCTTTCCAAATTCTAGTTAAAACATTCACTTATGGAGAATATAAGGTTACTTTTGATATATGAAATAGCAGTATTTTTCCAGCTCTTCCATAAGCTTTATTCCTTCTCCCTACCTGCCACTGAAAAAAATGAAAGAGAAAAACAGGCAAGGCAAAAGGAAACAAGCAAAACCCCAAGTTCTAGTCCTTTTTCATTTACAGAGCTATCTGGGTACCTCATTTTGTCTCTTAACTTGACTTTCCCTGGTCTAGTGGTGAGGTTTTTCTCACATCTCCACTAAGCCTTGGCAACCTCATTTTGTGGCCTTGTTAAGTATCACTTGGCAGTGAAAAGTAAACTAGGCAGGGATCTGACTAGTGATACCGTCCTTCTTCACTTGTAATCATCAGGGCAGACAGGAACAATGGGATTTTGTTCCATCAGGTTACTGGATTAACTGATTCTTTTGTTTCTCAAGAGTTTACGGGCCAAAGTTAGGCATATTGTCTTCTCTGGTCATCTTTGTGCTACTGCCTCTCTTTTCATTTCCTGTCCATGTTTCTGCCTCTCTCCATCTGCTTTAACTAGTTCAGTCAGTCTTCCTGGAGACTGTCACACGGGGTACTCTCACATTCTCTTGCTAGTCCTCCCTCAGCATCACGTGTCTTTTCTGAGCCATATCCTGGATTCACCAGTGCCCATCCCTTCTAGACTACTTTTTCTTCCTACTTTCCTAGTATACATATTAGGTTTTCCTGGCCCCGCACAGCTCCTTCATTTCTGTTCTGCCCCCAAAGTGCAATACGTACTTCCCCCTAAAAGCTCCAAAACTATAGTGGCCAGGGTTCTGAGTGTCTTTTCTTGTGTATAAGACCAGGTGGAAGGAGGGGAGGGAGAGCGAAGGTGCAGTACTAATCTCAGCAGGGAAGCCCAAGGCTGGCCTGTCTAGGAAATTGTAGACTGTGGCTCTCAGCCATTCTTTCTGTGGAGTTGGGTTCAAGGGGAGAAATTCATTCCCCTTCTCTTTTTTCCCTTGGCTCTAAACTATGCAGTTTTTACTAGGGCAAGAGGAAGCAATCCAAAGCCAGAGGCCTGTGGATAGATGTCAGCTTTAATAACCCCTCAGTATGAAGTCCTTCCAATCATACCAGGGCCACCTGCTGTTATCTTCCAAAGCCAAGAATGTCCTTTTGTCCATCTCTCCTGCCTCCATCTGAAACACATATGAAGTAACTGCCAGCTTCCTTTCTTATTTTGTCTTCCAAAACTGGCTATCATGGGGGAATGAGAAAATTTATTCTAAGCCACAAGATTCCCATCTCCTTAGAATGATATACTGGTGAGCCAGTTAGGTGATGTGTTTTGCTGCATTTGTTTTAAATTTCTCCTGCTCTTCAGAGGTGGTGCTGAACAAGCCACACCTGGTGAAGACGAAGGACAGAAAACATGGTTTTCTTGTCCCCTACCACCAGGGACCCAACAGGAACAGCCCTGAGGTGATCTGACTAGCAAATGGCATGGCAGATGGTCAGAATGCAGTCCCACCACCAGGGACTTTGCTTGCCTTGAAACAGTCACATCCGTAACTTGTGCTCAGGACTTCTTCAGATGGCTGCTCCCAGGGATTTTTTTTTTCCCCCGTTTTTGAGTCTTGTTTCATTTCTCATTGTCCTAATTTCCCACTAGCAGCCTTGCCCTATAGCATAACTAAGTTTATGGCTCCTAAGGAGCTTTCTTCATTAGACACTTTCTTCCCCTTGCAAGTGTTTTTAAAGGTAGTAATCAGCTTGTCACTGCACACATACCCTGCCAGTCTCTTCCTGTGTTGGACAGCTAATCTTTGTAGAGGTATTTTTTAAGTTTCCTGGCCCCCATACATAATTCTCTTTTTAATTTCATTTTTATCAGCGGCAAGTTAGTACTGGATTTAAATGAGAGCCATTGTTAGAACCCTAGCAGCACTGAAATGAAGATGGTACAAGACAACCCCAGGGTGGTCTGTAGGTGCTCTTGGGTCTCACTGACAGCAGCAGTTGCTCACTCTGAAGCCTCACTTTTAGTTAAGAACATCACTTACCTTGTTATTGCTGCCAGCTACATGGACACTCTCCTCTGATCTTTCCTTCCAGATATTGTACAGGGTGTCATTTAGTCCCTCTCAAGGACCTTGGGCTTCCTGGAGTCTTTTTTGGGGGGTGGGGATTACCAGGGATCGAACTCAAGACCTTGCGCTTGCGAGGCAGGTGGTGGCACCACTGAGCTCATTCCCGTCCAGGAGGACCCTTTTAGAAAGGAGCTGAGTGTGGCTATGTTGGGACTCTTCCAAGTGCCACTGCCCCACTCCCTTAAGAGAGAGCTTGCATAGACCTGAAAAGGCTGAGAAACCCTTTTAGGGAGGGTTAGAAAGACTACAGCTTCTTTACTCATTCTTTCCTGTTGGATACCCCAAATCCAGCTTCCTCCCACGTCTACTACTCTCCTTGGCCTTAAGCACTAGATCATATACAGGGATTTGTTAAAGAGGAGCTGGGCCAACTGAAACTCATCTTCACATCCGCCTTCCCTATCCGTTTTGTGGCTCTCAGCTTCTTTTCTGATTGGCCTGTCTCCCTGAGGACCTGCTGTCCCAGTGCCACCATCCTATCCCCAGAGATGGAGTGATTCTCAGTAGCTGGGAACCACGAAACACCAAAAAATCCTTCCTCTGGTCTCTGAGGGTCCCTTACTCCACAGGGAGAGGCTCCTTACAGGTGCTAGCCCATGAGATAGCTCTCCCCACCAAAACATCTCCCTTTCGTAACTTTTTCCACACTGAATCATTTCCCATTAATATTATACATTGTATACACAGGGAGGAAGTATGTTACTTTTTTAAAAAAATTTCATAACCAGTCTGTTTAGATTTCAGTCCTCCTAGCTGTATCATATATGCCTTTTGTTGATATGCTCTTTCTGCTTTCTTTAGACTTATGTTTGACCCGGGTGGGAGGTGTGGAAGAACAGGACAGGTGAGGATTCCCCACGCCCCACTACAGCTTCTTTAAGCCTTCACCCTTTTGCAAGCACAGAACTGAATTCTATCTGCACAGATGGCTGTGCATAGACATAAATCCCCACCCCAGGTGGTGACCCAGCAGGCATGATCATAGGTGACTGCTGGCCAACATTCCCACCCTCTGCACCAGTTGAATTCTTTTTTGGGGTAAAATCCTACCTCAAGATGAGAAAAGGCTGGGGAGGGCGGACAGGTTAAGGCAGCTTATGTCCTTTGTAGATGCAAGTATGTACTGTAGCTACTAAGACTTATTGTGTTAATGGGGGTGGGGGTGACAGCACAGAGATATCTCACCCCAGCTACTGGTAACTGGTGTTTTAGCTGTAAGTGGCTGTGAGCACTAGTGTCATTGACTTTACCTTAGGGCAGCAGTTCTCAGAAAATGGTCCAGGACCACCAGCAGAGCAGAATCACCAGGAGCTTGCTAGAAATGCACATTCTCAGCCCATACCAGACCTCCTGAATCACAAATATTGGGGGTGGGTTTTAACAAGCACTCCAAGTGCTTCTAATGCACACTAATTTTTGTAAACCACTGCCTTAGGGACAAGCTGGGATCTTACAAGGAGTTGAGGATTCTTTAAATACAATTCTCTGCCTTAAGACTAATATATTTTTCCATTTCTTCCAGTCCCTCCCTTCACACCATTAAAACAACCACATCACTCATCTCAAATTCTAGATTTGTCTTCCTTCTAGTCTTACCTCTAAAACTTGTCCCTGTGTCAGTCTGGACAGTTCTTCTTATTCCCCTGTAGACTGGTCACTCATGCCTTGGTTACATTAAGGGCCAGCCGGAGCTTTGGCTGCCCCATTACACAGACAGACACACACACACACACACACACCCTTACAGGCAGGGAGGAGATAAGCCTCCAGCCCCTAGTGGAGGCTGCTGCATCCTCATATATTATCTGTGAAGAAGAAAGCAGTGTGTATCTCTGATTATATTTCTGTTCATCTATATATTTTTGACATGTAGCAACACCTCTCCATCTCAAGGAACTCCACATGCCCTGGTCTCACTGGGCTCCAGTGATGGATCCTGACAGGTGGAAGGACACAGTGCTACAGGCTCTTTTGTTACAAGCCCAGCATCCCCCTTGCTGCCCCCCAGTCAGCATGACCCCTGTGAGCAGGCTCTCACAACCTCTTGGGCGGGCTGAGGCAGGGGCTTTGCGCTCTTCTCCCTAAGGGCCTTCCTTCCTTCTCCCTTGCCACTTAGCAGTTATCCCTGCAGCCACGCCTTCTCCCTCCCTTCCTCCCTTGCCAACCTTGACATATATTGTGCCTTATTTATGCTGCAAATGTAACATTAAACTATCAAGAGAACCACTGGTTTGTCTGAAGCTTCACTACTCTGACCCACAGTTCCCATGGCCACTCTTGTGGGGACTCACTGGCCTTTCACATATGTGAGCTTCCTCACTGTCCCACTCTTAGGGCAGAGGAAACAGGGATTCTTGTCCCTTTCCACAGAGGGAAGACAGCCTACAAAAGGTGGGTGACTTACATGAATTACACATCATTAACAGCAGGCACAGTTCTGATCTGTGAACTGCCCTGGGGACCAGCACCCCTCTTGTTGGGGACACACACTAGACAGCATAGTGAGGGTAGGAGTGCAGGTGTCGGAAGACAAGCACTTCTTTATCTTTCAGTGTTTTGTCCCCACACCCTCCCAACAACTGGGAAAAAATAAAAAGCTCTACCCTCAAGAAGTTTACAGCACAACTAGGGAGTGCACACACAGAAAGGGGAGCTTTCTGCAGGGAACAAGAGGTTGTTTTGGAAGTGAAGGGCAGTTTGTTGACATGCAGGTAAGTACTCACAAAAAAATGGGTGAAGCTTAGCAACTGGGAAAGTTAGGAGAGGTCTAGGGGAATCACTAACAATTCCTTCTGGATGTTCCTTTATAATTACCATCAAAAGTAAAGATAAGGCCAGGCTGAAGCACTTGACAAAAGAGAGAGTAGGTACCTCTGAGGTTTCCCATAGGAGACAACTGATGTAAGCTGTTTATGGCTGGTGTTTGGTAGACAACTGTGATAAATAGCCAGAACTTCCTTTAGTTATGGGAATGACAATGGTGGCCTTCACTGTGTTGTCAGGAGCACACAGAGTCCAGGAAAGGGTGAGAAAAGAAGTTGCTGAAAGTCAAAAACCAAAGCCAAGACTGAGGTTTTGGAAGTGAGAGGCCAACCCTGAAGGCCAAGCCGTGCACCAGGTTAGTTAGGGTTAACTTCCACCCTAGACATACGAAGCCAGCTAGACCAACCTCTCTGAACGCAGCTTCTGCACAGACCCCTCGTGACCGGTACTCAGGGATATGAGGAGAGAAGCAGCAGGGTGCTGGGTGCCTGCTTTGTGGGAGATGGAACACTGAATACTGCATTCGGTCACTTGCTGGTCACAACAGCTTCCTATAAACAGAAGTTCCTTCATTAATGGTAAATTCTTTAGTAACACAGTAAAGCGCAAGATAAAACAGTTCTTATCCCTCCCAGAGCCAGTTTGAAATATACCAGCCATCCTCACAACCTGGTCCTCCAGATCAGTGTCAGAACAGACTAGGACCAAGAAATAATGCTGAAACAGCTATCCATGAACTTGATGCCCCCTTTTAAGAAATGAACTACAGTAGCTGGGCTTGGTGGCACATACCTGGAATACCAGCACTTGGGAGACTGGGGCGGGAGGATCGCTGTGAGTTCGAGACCAGCTTGGGCTACACAGTTCCAGGTCAGTCTCAACTACATAGTGAGACCCTGTCTCAAAAAACCAAAAAAATAAAAATGGGGGGCACTTCCCCCCAGCAAAAGACTACGGAGTGGAACAGTAACTATGAAGGACTTTTACACACAAGCTATCATGTGATGTCTACGGGAGAAAACACGCCTGGCAGAATCCAGCTCAGCACAAGGAGAAAATGATCCAAAGGCAGTGCTGAACTGAGGGTAAGTTTCCCGGAGGAGGGTGTAAAGGAAACCTGCTCTCTGCCAGATCCTGTGCTGAGTGGATTCCAGAAGGCATCGCAGTGCCTTGATGTTCCCATGTTCTGGGTGAGGAATCAAGCTTAAGAGTAAACGGCTTGCCTGAAGGCTGAGCCAGAGCTTGGCTCCTCCTCAAGTGTAGGTTGGTATCCTACACCACGTGGATGCAGGGGAAGAGAGATGCAGGACAAGAGAAGACTACCAGATGACTTTGAAACGATGCTTGCCTAGAAGTAGTGATTCGGGTTTTCCTAAGGTGAGATTCTTGTCATCTTCTCCAGTATATCAGATCTACAGCCAGGCAGAAGCTGTGCAGACAGGGAGATGGGACAAAATGACAGTGCAGCCCCAAGGTGTCCTGTTACTGCCCTTAGGAGTCAGGGCCTCAGACTGCTGCCCCATCCTCTTACCTCCTCCCTTAAAGTCCTGCTCTAGAAAAAGGAAATGGTTGGACCTGGCAGTGAGCAGCAGTGGCCACAGGATGGCAGCAGAGCTTCAGCTACAGAGGCCAGCACTGAAGAAGTGCTCTTCAGTGACGGTGGGATCTGTCCACACTGTGGGCTCCATCCACACTGTGGGCTCCAAAACCCTTCAGTCTCCTGTATCTCATTATCCCATCCACAGGCAGATCTCAGAGAAATGATTCCATGTTTAACCTTCCGAGAGCCAGGTGAACAGGAATGGAACAGGCTGATTCTCACTGCCAACCCAGGCAAGGGAGGGACCCAGCTGAGTCACCCTGGCCCTTCCCTCTCCTTGCAATCCAGAGCTTTGCCCTAACACCTAGCCCTCCAATGGCAGTTTCTCTATGCTTTAGTCTACAAGTTAGAAGAGAGAGTTGATCAATTGAAGCTCTCCAACCTGTTGAGGGACTGAGGTTCTTGGTAAGGCCCCCGCCAGAGCCTGGCTGACAAAGCATCTGCAATTAATGATGCTTCTTGAGCTCTGGAGACAAGATTTATGCATCTAATAAAGTCTGTAACTCCAGGCTTAGGGGCTGGGGGGGGAGGCTGAGACAGCAGATCCCAAGAGAGCCATGGGAGGGGATCCCAGGTGGTTCTTGATGGAGCCGTGCATTTCCACTGCCTGTGCCTGTCTAGATTCCCCCTCAGGCTGCTGTTGAGGGTGGAGGACAAGGGGACAGCAGGTATTAGAGGCTGGTGTGCCTGCAGGAGGGAGGACGGCAGCATGGACTCCAGGCGGGCGGCGGTGCTGCTGCTGTTGCTTCTGTCAATGGACTGGGGCCATGCCGAAGGGCCAGGGGGCCAGGACGGAGACCAGCTCTTTGTGGTGAGCAAGCACCCTGTCCTACATCACCATTTTCTTCTGCCCCACGTGGAACTTGTGCTCTAAGTTCAGAGCTCCCTGGTTGCCAAGATCTTCATTTGGTCTCACATCTGAGGGAGGTGGCACCTCAGCCTCCAAAACCTATCCTTAGAGGCCACTCCCTTTCCCTTGTGACTTTAGTGTCCTGGCATTTGCCATTTTCCCTCCCTGCCACCCCCTGCCATAGGAAAAAGACATCGGACTCGGCGCACCACAGCGTACCCAGAACCCTGGGTCCCTCCTGCGCTCCCTGCTCCAGTCCATGGAGCGAACTGGCTGGAGCCCAGCCTTCCTGTTTCAGCCCCAGAGGTGAGTCTGAAAGGGACACGGGCATGGCAGGAGCTGGGAAGGACAGGGAACAGAAGAGAACGAAGGGGGCTCCAGAGGGGAGACTAGAGGGAGCTGTATTAGGGGATGAATCTCTTCTCAGGGTTGGCAGAAATACCTGGGCCTGGAATAGCAAGCGGCTGAGTCCCTGGGCTGGAGAGTTCTGGAGCCTGGCTGTCCCTCAGCGCTTTGGCAAGAAGTAACAGTGTCACCCCATGATGTGTTTGCATGCAAAGCTCACACCCTAAAATCCCATGTGACCCCCTCCCCATACCCTCAATAAAGCTGTCTGCTTCTGAATCCTGTGTCTAGCTGAGCCTTCAAAGGGCTGGGAAGAGAGCCCCAGGGCACAAACCATTGCCCCCTCCACCTTCACCACACCAGACTCCAGCAATGCAGTGAGAGGGTTCCCCAGCCAGCTGCCTCCACCAAAGAGAAAACTCAAACTGGAGGGACACCAAAGAAAATGAGAGGACAAGAGTGTGGTGCTGATCTGTGCCACCCATACAACTCAGGGCCACACAAAGAACAGGGCTTAAGAAACCAAGGAGTGCACATTTATTCTGGACTCAGTAGAGCCCCCAATTTCCTTCCCACTCATCATCACCAACAGAATGAGGACAGATCCCAGGCTGACTGAGGCCGTGTGGTCCCTGGCTCCTTGCCCAGTGCCCTCCTCAGCCTCAGGACAGTCTGTGTCAGAGGTAGAAATGGCCCCTCCACAGGATACCAGAGTGGGCAGATGCCTGGGCCCAGAGGCAGAAAGCGCAAAGGGTACATATCTGAGTCCAGCTGGGGCTCTACTTGCTGCCCGCCATGATCTTGAGGTACTGCAGGGCACGGCGAGCAGCCTCACCTCGAGCTTCCTCCCTAGTGGTCGCAGAGCCGTGACACACAGTGGCTGGCTGGGTGGAAAGTTCCACTAGGCACTGGCAGAGCCCACTCACGCTCAGCTCCTCTGGAGAGCAGAAGGCAAAAAGGAGGCAGTAGTGGGTGGGGAGCCAGCACGGGGCAAGGGTGCATCCACACTGTCATCCCCTGCCGACCCCCTTATACTTGCTCTGGTCCAGTCCCACCATGCCCTGGCTCCCCAACTAGCCATACCAATATCCAGGTAGCTGACATGGAAGGCTTGCTCCTCTGAGAGCTCACTGAGGATGCTGCAGCTGGCAGAGCCCAGAGCACCTAGGGAGCCCGGAGAGCAACTGCGAAGGTGCAGGATCTTCTCTCCCTCTGAATTTCGCAGAGAATCCCACGTGCAGCCTGGGCCCCGGCTCCGAAGTCCATCCAGGCGGGAGCCCACACCCTGACAAGACGGGGAGAGTGAGAATCGTGCCACTAGGGGCTGTGGGACCAAGGCATTTACACAATGTCCAAAGAGAGAAAAGCCTGAAGGATGCCTCCCCCAGCTGGCCTTCCCCAGCCTCCCTGCATACCACACTCCAACTTCAGGCCCTGACTGGGAGGCCAGGCAGACACTCTTGTCCCAGTAACAGAGCCTGTGGGCTCCAGTCCTGGGCCAGCTCCCCCACAGCACTCATCAGTGGGCACACAGTTGAGGCTATCAGGAATCAAGGACCTGTGAAGCCGTAGGTCTGGTAGGAAGCAGGCCCAGGACCTAGACAGGCTCCTTCCTGAGTCAGACCCAGTCTCTAGTGCCCTGCCCACACAAGCCACTCACGATGGAGAAGTGATCGTCATCAGGCTCCACCTCATTGCCATCCCGGGCATCCAGAGGCACTGTGTGTACTCGAAGCAGCATCTTAGCCGCCGCGTTACGTTTTGCCAGCTTTTTGGAAGTGCCACTGCCTGCATGTGGGGAGAGGAATGCTGGATTCTGATTCCCAACAGACGACTTCTTTCCACCCCTAAGTGATGTTAAATGGATAGGGGAGCTCAAGACTTGCCTGTGGACCTGAGAACCTGGGTAGCCAGAAGAAAGGGGGAAAAACAAAGTGCTAGGAAGAAGCCAGAAGATTCTGAGCCAGAATCTGGGACTACAAAACAAGGAAAGGTATAGCTTGACAGGGCAAGGCTAAGGACCACCTTGTGCCCTGGGATGGAGTGCTGTGGAAAAAGGAGATGCGAAACCCCCTTTTGCCTAGTTACCAATCTCAATGAAACGCTCCACTCTGCAGGTCATGGTGAACTCTTTGCGGTGGGCTGGTCCAGACTCCTGGGTCACGGTGTATTCTGGTAACCGCCAGCCCTTCTGCACCACCAGCTCCTTGGAAAGGAGACACAGGGAGCACAAGGCTGAGTGAGAAAAGACTCATCATGTCCCTGCTGATACCTACCCAGGAGGCTGTGACTCTAGATATGAGGAAGGAAAGAGTGTATAGAAAGGGCCTCGAGGGCTGGGGATTTAGCTCAGTGGTTCTGCCACCTGCCTTGAAAGCACAAGATCCCGAGTTCAATCCCCAGTACCAAAAACAAAAACCCAAAAAAAACAAACTTGAATCCAGAAAGGGCTTTGCACAGAGTTCCCACCCCACCCACAAACATACGTTCTGGGCCCTGGTCCAAGAGAAGACAAGCACACATGGGTTATAAGGGCGCGCACCTGCAGAGCACCAACAGGGTTGCACTCAGACTGCTGAGGAGAGACAGGGGGCTGCATCTCCACTGGGGGACACCTAAAGGAAAAAGGGCCCAGGCCAAAGCTGCAGGCAATGGTTCCTTGCAGGGCTGCCCAAGAGCCCCAGTGCTGCCCACTGCATACTTCCCCATCCCCACCAAGAGGCAGCTATCAATCCAAACATCCAGCCTTGTACTCTCCTGCATCCTCCCCTTCCCTCTCTGGTGAGGCATCCTCTACATTCCAGATGTATTTCTTGGTTTTTTGGGGTTGGTTTGTTTCTTGAAACAGGGGCTCACTACTTTGCCCAGGCTATCTTGAACTCACAACCTCCGCACCTCAGCCTCAGTGCTGGAAGTACAAGTGTGTGCCACCAAGCCCAGCCCCCAGGCACACTGATTCTGGAAAAGTTGGTGTCATTTCCCCTGGACAGTAGGAGAAGGGCTTATAGCCAACCCCTAGAAGCATGATAGTCTCGAAGAGGACCATTATGTGGCCAACCCCGGGCAGGGGGATAAGGGTTGAGGCCAAAAGACCTTTAAATGGCTAAACATCATCTATATGGCTACTGGTGAATAACATTACCTCCTGCCCCAAAAGCTTACCAGCTGCTACAGATTCTTTAAGCACTGGTCACCACTATTCCATTCTCTGTTTACACTCAGGCTTCTTCATGCCTAACCATGTCTAAGAGATGGGGCCAGGAGCCAGAACCTCCTTCTCTCCCCTCACAGAAGTCAGGGGACTCAGATACCTCTTTAGGACAGCAGATGGAACAGGAGCAGCAACTGCCACAGCAGTAAAAACTGGAGCGTCCTCAAGCAGTGAAGAGTCTGGGGGAGAAAAAGAACTTCCCGAGGGGAAGGGAGCCTTGGATTCACACCCATGTGCAGGGAAAGAAAGGTTGGGGACTCATCCCTCATCTGAGCCACTCTCGGGAGACTCAACAACAGCTCTTCCTCCTAGGATCCTTTACTAAGCACTCTGGTCCAAAAAGACTGAGAAAAGGGGGTCCAGAAGAGTATGACACCAAGAACCATGGGAACAACAAACTCCACCCTGAGGGCCGGGGATTTAGCTCAGTGGTTCGGTGGCCTGCCTTGCAAGAGCAAGGACCAGAGTTCAATCCCCGGCACAAAAAAAAAAAAAAAAAACCTCCACCCTGAATGTGGAAGAGGGAAAGACATCTTGCTAGAAACAGGAGGATGCTGGGGAACAACTCAAGTCAGCTTCAGCCTCTACCCCTCCCTCCCTAACCCGCTCCCCCCGACTACACCCAAAACCCCTCAAAGGGGTTGGCTATTCCCCTGAGAATTCTTCACATCAGAAGACCTGGAAATACTCAGCTCCAATCAAGGGGAAACACTCATGAAGGAGCCAGGTCAGGGTAGCCAAGTGTCACTGAGGCCAGGACTAAGGGCACAAGGAAGTGGTGCAGGGCCTAGGTTCCTGGAAGGGCTTCTAGGGTGTCTTGGCTGTTCCTCCCTCACCTGCTGTCCTCCAGGGCTGGCTCCAGCATGCTCCCCCCTTTGAGGTGTTTGAGGGCCACCTCAGCTGCCTTGTGCTTGGCTGCCTTCTTGCTGGGGCCCTGACCTGAGAGAGGGGTGTGGGCAATACTGGAGGTCACTAGAAGGACAGAAAATACACGAGTATCCCACCGCCTCTCTCCTCACTGCCAGAGGAAGTCAACCAACCCCCCTCTAACCCACCCCAACCCACCCACGCCCAAATTGCATTAGGTTCCACCGATTGCTGGAAAGAAAGGCTCTTGTCTACTAGCTCCAAGAATTAGGCCACAAGGAGCAGTACTTCTAAGTTCAAATACTTTAGAGGAAGTTTCTTTCTCTGCTTATTTTCCCCTTCAAAGTACTTTCTTTTCCCTCAATAAATAGAAAGCTGGAACAAGAGGATAGGCTCTGCAGTCAAAGACCTACCCTGCCACTTACTAGGCATGGGACGGTGCAGCAGCCCTTCAATATCTGATAGTCAGTATCCTCCTGTTCAACATGGCACACAGCCCAGCCCAACAAGCACTCATCCCTCCAAGTGTCCATTGAGAATTCAGTGTCTCCTTCACTTTTCCTCTGGGACGATGACAATCTGTCAAATCCCTATGTAACTCACTCCTCTAACTCTCCGAAGTCCTATCCACCTCACAGCCCTGTTCTCCCAATCCCATCAGCGGCTTTCCCCTGACATCTCACCTTCCCTCGCTGGCTTTAGAGAACCGTGAAGAGAAAGACTCTAAGATACAAAGCCATGGGACCCTGAATGCATACCCCAGACAGGCTGCCCAAGCCTTCCTCACCAGTGCAGCTGGTGTCGCCAACGGTGACCCGGAAGGTGAAATTAGGCTGGTGGGCTTGGCCCTCGGCTTTGAGAAGGTCGTACACGGGAGTCTTCCCTATTCTGGTCCCATACTCCTGCAGAAGGCTGATCGGGGTCTTGCCCGGATTGGCGGCCAGCATTTGCTCTATACTGGGGGGAGGGGCACAGACCCACATCACACCTCCCCCCTCTGCACCCACCTGGCCGAGCACTGCCACACCAGACCTTGGCACATTATGAGGGTCATAGGGTTTAGGGGGCCTCAGGCAGTAGAGCATCCACTGGCTGGGTTCAAAGTGGGGATGCAGCTGCAAAGGCAGGGTCCTCTACCTTAAGGCAGGTGAGAAATGTTCCTGTCTCAATTAAAGCGAGGGATCCTGCTCACAGTGCTGCTTGGAAGGGCATACCCCCTGACACGGTGCAGGCCAGAAACCCAGTACCCACCAAATGCACTGAATGTAGGGGCATAAAGCCCAATGCTCCAGTGCAGTCTGGGAACCAGGCCAACCTCACACTATTTAGAGCTGGAGGCAGTGGCCACTGCCCCAGTGCATGCCGGGAACCACTGCCCACTACCCCAGTGCTTGCCGGGAACAACCCTCAGGCCAGGTGCATGCTGGGGCCGCGCCGCTACCCCTCCGCACCGCACTACGTTTTTCGCCCTGCAGGAAATAGGACGAAGCGGCTCACCTGGGCAGCCCGCAGCCCGTGGTAGTGCCGGAGCCCTGCTCCTCTTCACTCATTCCCTCCTCCGTCCCCGCGGGCGCCACCGTGACTACAGCCTCCGCGCGCCCCAATACACCGCCGACGAGCTAGGGCCGGGGCCAAGCCCGGAGTCGCGGCCGGTAGGGCCTGCCGCGAGGCATGCTGGGATATGGAGTCCCCCGCCCACCCAGCTTCATGAGTTTCCATCGGGAGAGAAGCTACCCGCCCCATAAGCCTCTGCGTGGCTCGCCCTGGCTTCCCGCACCGCCTTCTGGGAGGAGCGGACACCTTCGCAGAAGTTTAAGAGCAGTGGGTGGACGGTACCGCCTCTTCTTGGGACAGTGAGGCTGTGAGCATGCGTACTGTCGGAGTGGAACCGGCTGGGGGCGGGGCGGTAAGGGCTAACAACTGGAGATTGTGGCCTTTTGAACCCTAGAAAACTACAGAACCCGGCAGCTGCGCGTCCTGTTTGTCGTAGCTGGAGGGGCAGGGTATAACAAGCTGGAGGCTTCGCGGCATTACTGACTACTCTGATTGCGTTTACCTCCCCTAGACATTTTGAGATTGGTTACTTCGCCTAGAGGGGCGGGGACAAGAGAAGTGGCAGCCCCTCCCCTCCTGGCCCGCCTCCTTCCTCGGAAGGGTTCTGATTGGCCCAGGAGGCTACGGGCGGATCCTGGCTCTTTGCTGTCAGGGTGGCTCTTACCTGGACGCGAGAGGGTGCTGTTCTCTGCCTCAGTCGCGAGGACGGCGGGGCTGTTGTGAATCCAAATTCGTGTCACACGGTTCTCTATCGACCCCTGCATAAGCTCCTGGCCTTCGGTCCTCCATGTCACAGAACCCGTTTCCTTTTCCTAGGTTGTCCTTGACCTTCCTTTAATTAACTCTGCACACAGTCTGTTGGGTTTGGCTTCTTTTCTAAAGCCTTTTTAGAGCGGTCCTGGCACCTGGTATCATTGCCTCTGCTGTGAATCTTCAGTCTCAGCTGAACAGCAAAAGACTGGTCCACTGGTGCAGAGCCCCGTGCCCTCCCCCAAAGTCTTGCAACCACTGGGCTGAAAGATGTAAAGGAAATCTTCTGACCTTGGAGAGAGATCGCGGAAAGTGTCTGATTGCAATAAGTATTTTGAGAATGGGGCGGGGGGGGGGGCCGAAGGAATCTTGGGATGATAATGAGGGGTCATCCAGGAACACTGGAGGGGGAGGGGGCCCACAGCTAAATAGATTCCAATTGGGTGAAATTGGAGTGGTGACAACCAAGGGAAGCAGAGCTGGCAAGATCGGTTTGACGGGGAGCAGTGCCGGGGCACTGGGGATCCCACCCGAGGGGCTGCTCTCTCTGGGTATAGAAAGAGACTAAAGGGGTCATAGGCTGTTCCTATGGAGTCAGCATAGGGCCTGAGGTGGAACCGCCGGTGGGAGACCCTCAGCAAGAAGGCGCGGGGCCGGAGTGGGCCAGGGACCAGCCTGGAGCGCCACGGATGGCAGCAGCGGGCTCCTTTAAGAGGCCGGCGGCTCCAGCGCAGCATCCCCCGCCCAGGGCGTGTCCGTCCCGGGGGGCCAGGGGCGGGGGCCTGGGAAGGAGCGGGAGTTCAAGCTGCGAGAGGACAAGGCTAGGGGCCGGGGTTGGGGGCAGAAAGCTGGGGCTGACACCCTTGCGCCTGGACGCCGCGAGAGCATCGCCTGTGACAGCGCCCCTGGTCCGGTCGAGGGCAGTAGGGGGAGGAGGGAAGGAGGAGGAGGAGGAGGCGGGAGCAGCATCCGGAGCGGAGCTGCAGCAGCGCCGCCTTTTGTGCTGCGGCCGCGGAGCCCCTGAGGTGAGAGCCTGGCCGAGTTGTGGGGGTTGGGGGGCAGGGATGGGTCCGGGTCTGGGGTCTGGACGTGGAGAGAGGGTAGCGATGTACATAGATGTGACGCGGTGGGGGAAGAGGTGGCCCGCGGATGATGAGGCTGTGGGGATGGAGGAGCTGGGGACCTGGACCCGACGCCGTGGGGATGGGAAGGAGGGCAACGAAGCCCAGGGCTGCAGCGGCCCAGCTCTGAGACTAGGGCCTCCAGAGCTGGGAAGGATTAGAAGGGTGGGGTGATTGGGAGGCCGACGTAAAAGGTTTGCGGGCTGGAGAACACCCTCTTCTCTCACTTATCCTCAGAGAGGCAGAGGGAAGGGGAGGGAGAGTTTTGGCTCCCCGAAGGGAAGGGAAGGGCAAGGCCTGGTGTCACACGTCTCTCCCCTCCCCCACATAACAGCAGGCTCCACCTGATCACAGGCAGCACCTGTTCCTGGATGCCCTGGCGGTGGACCCCCTCCCCTTCCATCTGTGACGCTCCTAATCCCTCCAGCTGTGGCATTCCTCTCCATCCAGCTGTTGCATCCTCCCCTCCCCCATTCATGTGTAGCTTTCTTCCCCCTCTCTCCCCAACTACTCTGGGTCCCTGAACCCATTTCCCCAGGTCAGGCCCTTCACCAACCTCCTCTCTTCCCCTCACTCCTCAGACTCGGCTTAAACCCTACAAAAATCCTTTTTACAGAGTTGAGACTCACTGACAACCATGGCCTCCACTGGGGGAAGGAACAGAAGGGGTCAAGGCTCCTAGGCAGTGGGGCGGAATAGATGCCCTTTGGAAGTGAAGGAGGAATCTCCCCTCTTAGCTCACGCTTCTGATACCTCTTTGGCCCTTAACCTGGAAGGGAGTGCCCCAGACCTTCACCCCACCCAGCGTCCCTGCCAACCCATTCAGCATCTCCCTGCCTCCCTTTAAACACCCTTTCCCTTCCAACTCACAGGCCCATCGCTCTGGGAGCTCTGATTTCCATTCATACCAAGCCAAGGTCAGCAGACGGGACTCAGGAAGGAAAGGGCCCAGTGCCCCTGAGCCTTCCTGTCCAGGGAGCTGAAGGGCCCTTGCTCCTTATCTCCCACGGGAGGGAGAAAGTCTGCCCTCACAAGTCTACCATGCATCCAGCCACTCACGCTGTTGCCTGAGGTAGTGCTAGGAAGACCCTTGCTCCCAACACACACGAAAACACACAAATAAGTGGCCATCCCTTTGTGAGACCCAGTTATGAGTGGTGGAGCAAGAAATTAAAGGAACTGTTTCAGGATTTCCTAGGTATTCCTTACAACTGAAGACAGCGGAACCCTTCCAAAAACCAATCCCTGGGCGGATGTGGTGGTATATGCCTGTAATCCCAGCTACTTAGCAGGCTAAGACAGAAGGATTGAAACTTTGAGGCCAGCCTGGGCAACTTCCTAAGACCCTGCCTCAAAAATATAGGTCAGTGGGCCAGGTGTGCTGGTGAATGCCTATAACCCCAGCACTCAGGAAGCCGAGGCAGGAGGATCACCAAGAGTTCAAAGCTAGCCTGGACTACATAGTTCAGGCCATCTTGAACTACATAATGAGACCCTGCCTCAAAAATAGACTATTTTAGGGCCAGGGATTTAGCTCAGTGACACCATGCCTGCCTCACAAGCACAAGATCCTAAGTTTGATCCCTTTTACCGCAAAAACTATGTGTGTGTGTGTGTGTGTGTGTGTGTGTGTGTGTGTGTGTGTGTCGGTAAAAGAGCACTTGCCTAGCATACCCAAGGCCCTAGGTTTGGTTTGGTTTTTTGGGTTTTGTTTTTTGTACCAGGGATGGAACTCAGGTCCTTGCACTTGCCGGGCAGGCACTATGCCACTGAGCTAAATCCCTGGCCCTCCAAGGCCCTAGGTTTGATCCCCAGTACTCCAAAACAAATCAGTTGTTGTTCATGGTCTTTCCCTTGCTGGTGGGAAAGTGCTAGAGCCTGGTGTTCCCAGGAAAAGGACCCTAAGTCCTAGTTTCATAGCCCTTCTTCTTCCCTCCGTTGAGTCTGGGCAGGCAGGTAGGCATCAGCTTCTTTGGGAGTCTGTGTCGGGAAACAGGAGGACCCTGAGGCTTCAGGAGTGGTGGCCTGAAGACGATCTGTCTGATTATTTTACTCCCAGAAGGCTGGAGTTGTGGGTGCACTGGAGAGGCAGCAGGCCTGTTCCAGGGGAGAGGGGGCCTCTCAGGAGACAGCCTTTGGCCCTTCAGCTTCTCTGCTCTCCTCCTTTCCTTCATTTCCCCACCACCCTTTCCATCCATACCCTCTCTACTGTTGCTTGTTTTGAGGAAGAAAATGGAAAGGGGAGGAAATCGCTTTTTTTAAGTCTGTTACTTCATGTTAGACATTGTCCATGTGGCTGCTGTTTATAGAGAGCTTCCTGTGTGCCAGGTGCTGGGCCAGGAACTTTATTTTGATTACCTCTGTAATGCTCATAACAAGACTAAGTTTTGTCATTCTCTCTGCTCTAGGATGTGGAAACTGAAATTTGTTATTTATTCAAAATCAAAGCCTTAGTGTGTAGGAAGAGTGAGGATTTGAACTCAGGTCTGTCTGACCCAGAGCTGTGTCCTTACCCACCACATTATATCCTGTATTACCACTGTTCCCATTCAGTGATAAACAGGTTTGCTGAGGAGTCTCTCACAGGCTCTTTGTGGGGGCTCACACCTGTGAGCACAGCACTCACTCTGTGAGGCCAAAGCACAAGGAGTGAAAGTTTGAGCCCAGCTTGGGCAATTTAGCAACTTACAAGACCTTCTTTCAAAAATAAAAATGGGCTAAAGATATGGCTCAATGTGAACGTCCTGGGTTCAATCCCTGGCACTTAAAAATAAAAAGAAAGTTAAAAATTAAAAGAAGCCTTGTAATCCTACCACTTTGAGAGCCTTAGCAGGAGAATCACAAGTTTGAGTCCAGCCTGGGCAGTTTAAATATTTAGTGAGAACTTGTCTTCAAAAAAGAAAGGGATGAAGATCTAGTGCAAGCCCTAGCCCTGGATTTAATCACCAGAAATGGGGGGGGAGCAGGAGAGAGAGAAAACACACTGTAGCATGTGCCTATATTCCCAGCAGGTGCCTGTATTCCCAGCACTCAAAGCTGAAGTAGGAGGATTGCAAGTTTAAACTCTCCAATATTTAGAGTCGAAGGCCAATCTGGACTACATAGTGAGATCCTGTGCCCCCCCCCAGAAAAAGGTGGGTTGTGTTGGTACACTTCTGTACTCCTAACACTTGGGAGGCTGAAGCAGGAGGATCTCTGTGTGTTCAAGGCCAGCCTACGCTACCTAATGAGTTCAAAGCCAGCCTGAACTACATAAAGAGACACTGTCTCATAAAAACAAAAAACAAAATTCTCAGGGCTGGGAATTTAGCTCAATAGAGCTACACCTACCTTGCAAGCACAAGGTTCTTGAGTTCAGTCCCAAAGTACTGGGGGGAAAAATGTTTTTTTTAAAGTCTCATACTACAGGTCAGGAGCAGAGGTAAGACCTCAGCTGACCTCTCTGATTCTGATGGCTGTGTCTTTCTTCTAAACCATCACCCTCCCTTCATAGTACAGCTGTCCTAAGCAAGGGGACAGGAGTGGATGGACACTATAAATGTTATGTTCTCTTCTTCAATTTAAAATATATTTTATATCCTAGCATTTGGGAGGCTGAGGCTACCCTGGACTACGTAGTTAGTTCAAGGCCAGCCTGGAATAGCAAGACCCTGTCTCCAAAAAAAAGAAATTTTTTAAAAAATATATATATTTATATATAAAGAGAGGGTGGGGTGCCTGGCACAGTGGCACACACCTGTAATCTCAGTTGCTTGGGAGGCTGAAGGACGAGGACCACAAGTCAGTCCTGCCTGGGCAATCTATCAAGACCTTATCTCAGATTTTAAAAATAAAAGGCTAGATATGTATCTCAATGTAAAACACTCTTGGGGTGAATCTTCCAGGACCACTGATTAATTAATTTTATGTCTTATTTTAAAAGCAATTTATGGGCCAGAGATTTAGCACAGTGGTTCTGCTGCCTCCCTTGCAATCACAAGGACCCAAGATTGATCCCTGGTACCAAAAAAAAAAAGTACGACAAAAGCAATTCAAGGGCTGGGGATGTAGCTCAGCAGTACAACACCTGTCTAGCAAGTACAAGGTCTTGAGTTAGACTCTGGTAACCAAAAATAAATAAATAAATGCAATTCAAAGCTGGGCTGGGTGACACACATCCATAATCCCAGCATTCTGGGAGGCTGAGACCAGGGCATGACAAGTTAGAGTCAAGCCTGGACAATGTAGTAAGTGAGATCCTGCCTCAAAAGAAAAGGCAGGGGGTGGGGGGCTGGAGATGTAGCCAGTGGGAAGGTCCTGGATTCAAACCCCAGTACTACAAAGTAAGTAAATTATATAAAAGCAGTTCAAAATTATTACTGAAATACTAGAAAATATAAGTAAGCCAAAAGAAGAAAATGAAAACATCCATAATTCCACCTATGTAGCAGTTCCTATACATTGGTACCCTTTTTAAGATTTTGGTGGATTTCTTTCTGTGTGTTTTTTTCTCTTTTTTTGTTTTGTTTTGCTTTTTGTTTGTGTTTTTGTTTTTTTGAGACAGGGTCTCACTGTGTAGTTGAGGCTGACCTGAAACTTACTATGTAGCCCAGGCTGGTCTCAAACTCACAGTGATTCTCCTGCCTCAGACTTCCCAGTGCTGGGATTATAGGCATGCGCCACCACTCCCAGCTTGTGGGTTTTTGTTTTTGTGGTGCTGGGTCTTGCGAGATACTAGGCAAGTGCTCTGCCTCTGAGCTACATCCCCAGCCCAATATTTAAAATGCACATCCATTTCCATTAAAACGTACATAGCTTCAAGCCAGGCGTGCCCCCCACTCTGAAGGCTAAGGCTGGAGGATGACCCTGCTACATAGTGAGCTCAAAGTCAGCCTGAACTACATAGTAAGACCCTGTCTCAAAAA